CTAGCCAAGTCCGTTTGAGTAAATCAACTCGAAAGTGCATCGATAACGGCGCGAAGGGGAAGGGTGTGTATGTGTGTATGTGGCGGCAGCGTGGGAGGCAGAGACAAATTCACTTTTACCACGAGCGCGGAGAGACCACGGTCGCGCGCTCTCTGTATTATATATCAACGCGACGATCAACTAATTATCAACGCGACCAAGCCCGTGTCAACATTAATCGCGGGAAACGGCGGGGGTGCCCGCGCGGAGGAACACACAGTCTACGCCAGGAAACGAGCTCGATTTACAATTTATAAACATCGGGGCGGAAGCGGGCAAATTATTTTATCGTCCGACCGCGAATTTTCGACTGCGAGCGCGTTCAATTTTCACCGTGTAGAACGAGCGACCCGTTGAAAAATCACCACGAACCGCCGCCGCCAACCGTTGCGTGTGCCGCTTTTGAATTCCTTGCGGGGCGGACGCCGGAATTTTCATCCGTTCGCGGACCGAGGCGGAATGGCCGGTAGGAGGAACGAGAAGAAAGGATGAAAGAACGACGCAAGGGTGGTTGGGAGGGGACAGGGAACGGAAAGGAGGGGGGAAAAGAATAGCACGGAGGATAGGGACATTTCCGAGAGTAATTTTCCACTGGATGGCGCCAAGAAATGTTTATTCATAAGTTACTAGAATGCGCGCGATGCACGGTTGTTCCGTGACGTTTTACACGACCGTGCCCCGCTCGCCAAACGGGCCCCGTTTGCGTCGCCATTTCGTCCGTCGGTTTTCTATCATCCCCCGTTTGCTATTTCCGCCCACCTGAGAATCGTCACGCGCGATCGGGCGCTCCCGATTCCACGGGACTTGGGGGTAAACACATACGAGCAACGATACACCCGTCCGTCAACGCGCTGGTCCACGGGGCGAATGATGGGAAAAAAATGCGCTTCTCGTCGAATCCACGAGAACGAAAAATAAATGGCAAACAAACGTTATTTTCTTCTTATCGTCCCTCACACCCGCCTACCACTGTTCCCTTTATCCTGTTACAATCACGGCGAAATAATGTATTTCGAGCAATCCGCCGCCCGCCCCTTTGTACTCTCGAAATACGTTAATCCGGATTATAAATACGTAATTCCGGATAAGCGGATCAGAGCGCGGGTGGCGGTTGGGGAACGGGGGAGGAACAGCGAGAAAAAAACACGGGAAATCTATCGTAAACGTTATCGGATGACAGGCACAGGCAGCGTGTATCGGCCGCCGCCTGTGCCTTTCGGTGCTGGTTTTGAACCATCGGAGAGAGAGAGCATCGCCGACTGGAACAAAGCCCCTTTCGCTGCTATCGGCAGCCGCGTGTTTCTAGAACGGTCGCTCGTAAAACGGGCCGGAATACTTGGAGAGTTTAGTTACAGAGGATGCAACGAAAGAACAGTATTACGGGGCGGTCGTCACGGCTCGACTCGATGTTACTCGATATTTCCTTTCAAAACGATCTTGGATCGGCCTGTCGATTCGTATATTTTCAAGACTTCCATTGCGACCTCGTGCAGTTCCCACGTTTATTCTAATAATCGTCTTCTGTTCGAAATAATGAAAGAGTAGAACGGATCACTGAATGGAGAATTAGAAAATTGTCAATGTTTCATTACGACTTGCTGGACAAGATATTACATTCCATTGCCCGCCACGAGAATTGTCCTTTCTCTGATATTTCGAGACCGAGCCAAGTCGTGGTCGTCAATCGCGAAAAATTGGCGCGAAGAAGCCACCTACCGCGGTCGATCCGCCGAAGCAGGGGGGTTGATCGTCGGTAGTTTTCGAGTGTGAGTTTAAACTCGACTCAGCAGATGTACGTCCAATTATTTCGCGTTCGCACGATAATCTACTAGTGATTCCGCCGTCTAATGGACCGGTTATTGTAACGTTAGTCCGTTACGGTAACATCCGGGTGTCCCTCGCCTGTACAGATCTCATCGTTATCCCGTACTCTTTTCCTCGTTCCGTTGTCGTAACGGATGGTGCAAACGTGAAAGCGCATTGACTCGTAAAAAAAAACAATAAAAAATAAAAATACAATTCCATCGTCGATGAGAATCGGTCCCGTGGTCGATACGCGTCGATACGATAGATGGACAGATAGATAGAGAGCGCGAGAAAAGGAAGTTGTTTCGAAGTAGACACGCTTGGAAACTTACCCCTCGCTCGGAAAAAGTGTCTCGCGAAGAGTTGCTCGGCGAGAAAGGTGGTTTCTTCGGGTTGGGGCGGGAAGACTCGGCGTACTCCCAGGGGGCCTTCCGAGTTGTCCGTGGTTCGACGACGAAGGGTGTCCCGTGGTATCGCGTCTCCGACCCAGGAAGCAAAATAGAAATGACCGTGGGCGAGTTTTTCGATCGAGAGTCACCGCGAACCTGTGTTGTCTGCGCGCAAGCGTCGAAGATCGCGAAACGCATATGTGTGTTTCGATAGGTTATATACGATATAGATGTGAATACTTTCTCGCGTTAACCGCGGATGTTTCTTCGGTTCCGCGTTTCCGGCACCCTCGTGGTCGCCACGAGCACTGCCGTCCCTGGGAGTACCACGCGGACAAACATCGAGCTAGAAACTGCGATACGTCGGCCAGAGGACGGCAGCGGCTCACCCCGGACATCCTCCTACGCGGGGGACGCATGCGTCGCGTTTAAACCAACACCGAAACCACCCTCTCTGCGCCGCTTCTCTTTCTCTCTCTTCCTCCCTCTCTGCTTCCCTTTTCTTTTCTCCTGTTCTCCGTCTCGTTTCGAATACTTTCTCCTTCGTTTTCGTAGCGTATCCCACAGCCTACCGTCGATCCTCGCGGAATTCTCCGCAACGGAATCCGTCGATGTCCGTCGATTCTTCGAACGGAATCGTGTCGATGGCGTCCGTATCGTTAGTTCATGCGTACGATTCTCCAATTTTATCGCTGTGGTTCGATGTACACCTGAATACACGGACAGTCGATCGTTGAAAATATGTTTTTGTTTTCATTTGAAATCTTTGACGAGGAAAAAAAATGCTGGGAACCATGGACAATTTTACCTGGCGCGAATTCGTAAACGTTTCGTGGTCGGTTCTCCGAATCAGAGGGGATGGAACGCATGCGCAGCCCACGCCGGTAGAGTGCGAGGGGGTATCGTCGCGGGGTATGGGGGTGAGTCAGTCAAGCCGCAGCGCGCGTTCAGAAAACTACCCTTAACGCGGTCTCGCATCCTCGCGAGGAATCTGTAATTTAACCGCGAGTCCGCGGCGAAAATCACGCGCGTTTCTCCCCCTCCGTCCTCTGCTTCCGTTTCCCTTCTCGTTCGATGCTCCGGAATATACGTTAATGTACCGAAACAACCGGCCGAAGGCTTGTGTGCTATTGTAAATTGTTCTTTCGATGTCATCCTCAACCTCGAACCCGTACAAACGAGCGCAAACTTCGGGGCTACGATAGCGGTGAAAGTGAAAAAGAAGTTTATGCAAAACGAGCAAGAAAGGAAGACAAAAGCGAACTGAAGAATAGGCATCGTTGTGGCGATCATGACACGAGTAAAAGGAAGATTTACGACGGAATTTAGAGCGATTTAAAGTTTACACGATATTTGATTACTTGCTCAAAAAAAAAAAAGTGATTCGTCTTTTGCGTTGTACCCACGATCATTTTCCGGACCTCCCTCGCAAATATCGGTCTTCCATCGCGAGAGGACAGCAAGATTTAAAAACCCTACGGAAATCGTACCCCGTGCGAAAGGAGTATCAACGATAGCGACGTTCCCGACGAAACGGAAGAGCGACGGAGAAGTTTGTGCCAGCCAAAGGGGATACGAGAGGATAAAATGAAGAGAAACGTAGCGATCGGCGTATGGGGCGGAAACGAAGAAGGAGGGTCAGAGCAGATCGGTAGGAAGATGTAACGGCGGCTAACGGAAGCCGAGCCGACGTTTCCGGACATACAGGGTGAACGCCTTTCCGCGGGGAGCCTTGACGGAAACCTCGAAGGTTTGCCTCGCGGGCGGAGGAGAGAGTGAAAATATGGGATGGTCGTGGAATCATCGAAAGAAAAAGTCTGGGTGATCGTTCGGCGACTATCAGGAGGATTACCGGACGAGAAAGGGGTATGTTGAGAGATTTCGAAGCGGAGCTGGAGGGGCGGCAAGGAGGAAAACACGACGCTTCGTTCACGATCTTGCTTTTCGTCGGTCGCGATACGGCGTATTAGTGCTCGTCGTCGGGGTCGCCGTAAAGCGGGACGAAGAGGAGGGAGCCAAAAAGAGGATTCGTCGTAAAGCGAGGAAACCGACGAACCTTCGCGAAAAAACGTAAAAGTGCGTCGACCCCTCTAGGGAAATACGTCGAGGGGGTAGTTTTTGGGGAACGAGCTTGGTGACGTCGTTCCCAAGATCGATCTTTTTCACGATCCACCAAGGAAGAAAGAAGAAAGAAGTAGGAGAGAAGAATGCATCGTGGCAGAGGAAGGATGTGAATGGCGAAGCGACTCGAAGCTATCGCGTTGAAGTACGAAAGTGTACGGTCGTTAACGATGTTCGTGAAAAACTTGTCGTTTTTTATATCTTCGAACGTTTCCACGTAGAATACATACATATATATAGAACGCCGTGGGCCCGATGGTAAATGGGCGCGTGTCGATATTTACGTGCTCGGCTGCTACGCTGAATAAGCGTTTCCATTTCCCTTGTTCGTAATTGCCCGTCACCTATCAACGAAGCAAAGAGTATTTTTTTACGCGTACCACGAAGGTCCAACGAAAGTTTCCCAGTGATCCACGCGACGGAAAACCATACGTCGCGCATCGTGTATCGCAACTGCTCGAGAAACCGATCTTTTTCCCCCCGTCCAGAATTGCGATTTTCCCCCATTTCCCGCATTGTCCGGACGGACACGTCGTCGTCCACCGAACATCGAGTTTTCCACGCCAGTTCTCTGGATTCATCGTCGATCCAGCCCAGCCCAGTGAAGGTGGTATGTTATGACGAGGGTGATTTGTATTTTCATAGGTGGAAACGCTGCATCGGTGGTAATAAGTGTGCAGTGATCACGGGTGACCGAGGGAAGACGGGAAAGAGGGTGGTCAATATGACTCCTATCTTCCTCGTTCTGTTGGTGGCACTCGACCCGATTGTCGCGCAGAATAGTGGTGAGTAATCGACCAGAGAAATCCATTTTGTGTAATAGACTTTTCCGGACATTTAACGACGCTTCGAACTGCTACGCGGGCAGGACTGTTGGTTACGAACTGTGCGTCGGTCCGTTACTAGTTTTCATTGTGCCGAAAATGCCCGCGGCGACGAGGACTCTGGACAACACACTGCATATCCATCGAAACGTGACCGCGAAACGTTCGCGCGGGCGATATCGAACCGCGTTTCGGCCCAGTCGTGTCGGTTCTCTGGATTACGCGCGGGCGGCGAAAGAGACGAGTCACGGGGGTCGATACGCGCGATCGATACGTCGTCGTACCGTGAAACACGCACGATTATTCCGCGTTGCGTGCGTACCTCGAAGCAAATGAGGAAAGAAACGAAAAAAAAAAAAAAAAAAAAAAAAAAAAAAAGTGAAAGGCGTTCGTCGGTCCGTGACGCGCGCGTTGGCGCTCATTCGTTCGAGGTTTAACAACTTCGTACGTCGACGACGCCTTAACGGAACCGGGCGTATTTATACGTACAAAGGAATGGTGTACCGCGATCGTGAAACAACTACGGGGATACCGGGGATTGTTGGCCTCGGAACTGGCCGAGAGTCGAGCCCGAAAAGCTGCTCCGGTTTCCCCGGAAGCGGCCTCGATAATGCACGCTTTCAGCTCGTGCGCGACACCGTGAACGCGCGTTTTCCGATGCGTTTGGTTTTAGTGCGCGACGAATCCACGAGCCACGCGCTTTTTGGTCGTGGGCTGTTAAGTTCCGTGTTCGCTGGAGCCGATGCGTTCCAGCGACTACGTAAAAGCCGCGAACACAGAATCGCGGGTTTCGCGTCGTCGAATCGGTTTCGTCCGCTGCGGCCGAAATACAGCGTGTGTGTGCGCGGAAGAAGAAGAGAAAGACCGATATTCGGACGCGGTGGATGGCGGCTCTTCGACGCGTTCTATAGACTCTAAGACTGCGAATCACGACGAATGACAGACGAGGAGAACGCCTCGTGGGCCTGCTGTGTGTCCAGTCGCATCACGCGTCCGTTTCTGCGTCTTGCTCGAGTACAATGATGATTCCCATAGTATATTTTCCACGTAAATCGACTTACAGCTCGATTGTCGAGGCAGTCAGCCCCGACCGATCGTTGAATAGATTCGAGAAGCGGTAATTACGCGACAGTCCGTCGCCTCAATGCTCGCTAATTCGGTCGAGGCTGCGCGTCGACTCCGTGAAACGCGTTCTCCAACATTTGGGGTAATTAATTGCTCGGTGGTCTCCGATCATTCCTGCACGTTATCGGCGGAGTCGTGAAACTAGGCTACCTTGATAACACGCTGGTTATGAGACGAAGATGATATTCGTTCGCGATAAAATTGGTAGACAAGCGAATCTATCGATCAGGTTTATTACACGCGACAGAGTTCCACGTTTTACTAGTTGTTTTACCTTTTATTCCTTTGTAATTCGTCGAATCGTTGCTCGATACCAGCCCCTATCCGCTGGCCCTCGAATGACGGTCAAAGGACACATTCCCGGCGGAAGGAGGAAGGATAGAGACCGCAAAAAGAATCTCGAAAGGGAGATGAGCTCTGAATCCATAGTTAATGCAGATCCGTCCCGTCTGTCCCGTCTCCGTCGTGGAAAGGGAAATAGCCGAGGTGGAGCACGAAGATTTCCTCGGAGGTTCGCTCGCTGTCGCGCGTTCTCGAAAAATCATCCTCGTGGGTGGCGGGACGCAAAACTCGACGGGCAGATGCGCGGTTCCGCCGGCTTGCCTGTCTATCCATCTATTTATCTTTCCCTTCGCCGGCCCGCTCTCTCCTTTTCCCTCGTGTCGAGCTACGTTCTCCGATTTCGCGAATATACGCTCGGAGAACCGTGTCGCCCAACCGAGTCGTCTGCCAGTTATGTATGGCAGAGCGATCGGTACGACGACGTTTGGTCAGAAATGTTACCGTGATTCGCCGAAACCTACCCGCAAAGTAACAAAGTTTTGCGGTCGTGCGCGTACCAGAAGCATGGAACGATGCGGTCTCGTAAAATATGTTCGCCCGTGAAATTTCTCCGAAACGTTATGAACGTGTTTCGGTGACGTAGTTACGAAATCATCGAACCCTTTTTTTTTTGTCACGTGCCAGTAGACGGAACGAGGATTCTTCGTTTTCTGGGTTCAGTCGAAAGGTCCGTGCGTTATTTATCGTCATGGCGAACGCAATAGTTTACATTCCGTCCGGGTATGGCTGCAGCGGCCTCGGAACTGCTGTCGCGCTTACGATCCGCGAGCCGTCGTTGTTTTTATCGGTAATTGACAGAGTAGACGTAAACGAACGCGGGAAACGAACGGACGCCTACGAAAGGTAGACGAACGGGGACGAGCGGTCAAAGCGTAGTAACGGGCGTCGGTGTCCACGGTCGAAAAAGCAACACACCGGACGGCGATAAGCAAAGAGCGTCACTAACGATACGCGACACCCTTCCGCCGGGCTGATTCTTCGTTTGTCAATTTTTCAATTTCGTTTCCCCCGTCGATGTTACTCACCCAGCCCCTCGATAAATTTCGTCGAACCTCTAATTCCCCGTTAATTGAAAAAACCCGACGGGGGGGTTGGTTTCGTGGGTTGGGTAGGCTAGGTACAGCCGGACGAGAAAAGTTGATCGGGACGTGGAGTAGGTATACGATTCAACTTTCGATTCGAGGCGGTGTTGGACTAGCGTGTTGGTCCGCGCGCGTCGATCTGTCTACCGCGGCGAGAAGCCTCTACCAGGCAGCATCAACGATAAGGCAAACTAGTCCGACGAAGTTTATCGACGTTAAAAAAGGCCAGGCCTCGGGGTCGGGGTCGCGGGAAAGTAAAGTAACAGGGAGGACGGCAGGGAGGATGGAAGGTCGAAGGGAGAAGAAAGAGGTCGTGGTCGTGATCGGGGGGAGTGTAGCGGTCGGCAGGGGCCGGTATTCGCGTTGGTGTGTTGCGGAGCGAAGGGTGTGTGTGAGTGGCACAGGTATACGTCCAAGTGGCTCGCGGGAAGGCCGACGGGGTGATAAAGTAAAAAAGTTACTCCAGCTATTTTATGGGATCCCTCGACGGGGGGGTCTGCCGCCGCGATCCTCGGATGTGGCAAGGTGGTAAGGGGTAGCGACGATGGTGGGGGTAGCTTGCAACCACCGGCGGCATCCCCCCATCTCCGTAGCGAGCATCCTCCGCCGTTTCGTTCTTGCTTCCTGTCCAACCCCCCCGACCCCTTGCGCCAGGCTTTTACGGTATCGAACGAGTGTCGTCGGGATAAGCTCGACGTTGGCCTAGGCTCGCAGCAGGTATCGCAGCGAGAACGCTGCCAACCGATGGGAGACGAAGAGGGCAGGGAGGGGCCGGAGGGAGGTTGGCTTAGCCGCAACATTCTCGGGTTTACACCCCCGTCGTGAACTTCCCTCTGGATCTGGGATTAGCCGTGGTAGGCGGCAAAGGTTCGTTCGGGAATTAAACTGATTTTCCCGTAGCGCGGAACGCGTGCACGCACAGCGATTTTCCGAGCGGAGACGCGCTTGCTCGCTCGCGTTTCCTTCATCGGTACGCGACTGGTGACCGTTCGTTCTGGGCGGACAGGTCGAAAGGGAATGGTTGACGGGAGAAAATATCGTGGCCGCGATGCGTCGATAATACCGAGCAGACAGGGAAAAGCCGGAGATCGGTGGTCGACCGAAACGATAACTTTCCATCGCACCAAGACGTTGATATCGCGAACGTACCGTACGGTTTTTTCTCTTCTTTTTTTTTTTCGACCTCCCCACCACCCCGGTGTTTCTCTCTTCCTTCGGTGCAGGTGCAATTTATGGGAAGCCAAAGTGCAGTTCGCTGTTCCCATCCAGTTGGAAGTGTCATCGAGCATGCGCTCGCACATGCGAAATCGATCTAATTGACGTATATATTCGAGAGAAAAGAGAGATTGTTGCGAGCGAAATTCTCGGATGAAGGAAACGATTCGCGGTTTCGTAGATCGGTCATTTTATTCTCTTTCTCCCCCCCTCCCCCGCGCCTAATACATGGAACCTCCGTAAGAGTTCAAAGATTGCGAGAATTTGGCCGTTCCTGTCACCGAATCCGGGTGGTTCGTCGGCAAATAAAAACGGAAAAATCCGCTACACTTTACAAAGGAGTTGTTATCGCGCGGAGTCGTTATAACGTGGCGGCTATTAAATGAGAGGCGTAAATGCATTACATTGCATATGCATGATCCTCTCTCTCGACCGTATCACAGGCACGAAACTGGAATAGCATCGTGCGCGTTCGCGTTATACTTCTTTCCCCGGTTTGGCGAACGATCGCTCCGAAAAGTCGACGATCGATTCCGTGTTCGATCGTTCTCCCCCACGGAGACCTTTCCCCACTTTCTGGCACGGGAAATTAACGCACGCGGCTTGTGTCAGGATAGAAACCGTGATGGTAATCGGATGACGGGGGGTTAGCGTAGACGGAACAAATATACGGTCCACCGACGCGCGATTCCGTTATGTTGGAAAATACAAAATCCTGGCCCCGAAAATTACAACTAATCCCCGCGCGCACGGAAATTCGAGCCGCGGCGCTCGTGACGTTTTGATTTACTAAACGCGGTACAGGGTTGTAATTATTCGTTTTGCTCCTGGCCGTGTCTAAATTATTTTGCTACTTCCACCCGCCGGCGGCGGGGATGGGGTGGGTTTAACCGGCGCAAAAAAAAAAATGGAACAAAAACGGAAATCGGACGAAAACGAAACAAACGGGCCCCGGGAATATTGCGAGTGTGGAATTCCTCGGGAGAAAATAAATTCATCTTAAATAATTAAATTTTACGAATGTCGCCGTGTGTAGTACGAGCGGGCAACAGCGGTTGCTATGGTTTCGCGCGCAATCGCCGCGGCTTGCGAAGTTCTACGCTCGGAACCTCGCCGAAGAGGTGGCGCACAGGGGAGACCCGACTTTCGGCTTTTAACGCGACTAACTCCCGCTTCCAAGTATATTATCGAACGAAT